ATCTATTTGAGGACGGCCTGCAGGCTCTCCAGCACCTGTTTTTGTTTGTCAGTCAGAATGTTCGGGTCGTGTTTGGTAGTGTCTGTCTTACCTCAAGCTCGATCTTAGCCTCAGCAATATCCTGCTCGCTGCCGCTTCCGTTGGCAATCTTCTGGGCCTCGGCGATCTGGGAACGGACGTTCTGTGTTGAGGGTGACGGATTAGCACTGCGCAGAGGCCAAAGCACGGATCGGTTAGAACCTACGTCAATGCTGAAATCCTCGAGAGGGAAACCCTCGACGGCGTTGATGCTCAGCTGGGAGTCGGGCTGGACAACGGCGAAACCACCAGACACTAGAATTCAAGAGAAGTCATGTCAGTCTTGTCCTAGACACGATGTGGCGGCTGATCTGAAGAATCTCGGCCCGCGGCACAAATATCAACACGGTTGATCGGACGTACGGAAGAACTTCTTGCTGGCACCACCCTCCTCAACGATCTCAACGAGACCGGGCTTGAGCTGCTCAATGGAGGGGACGTGGTTGGCGAGAACACCCATCTCTCCGGACTCGGCGGGGATGTTGACCTGAACACTGTATGGGAAAGGTTCGTAAGTATGGGGCGGTCTAAGGTGAAGGATGGTCGTGCAATGCTTTCGACCTATTCGGATTGCGAGGCTACATACACGCCGGCCGACTTGAAGATGGACTGTTGGAAGAATGAGTTGTCAGTATCAAACATTCACGCAGGTGCACAGAGGCGCTCAACGGAATCGGAGGCGTACCTGGTGAGGAAGGGTCAGGGAAAGCTTGATCTTGTCCGACACAGCCTCGGCGTAACCTCTGCGCTGGAGAGGAACGCGGAAAGCGGAGGGACGAGCCCTGAAGGCAGAGCGAGCGAAGCGGAGAGAGCTCATCTTGCAATGGACGAAGGGGGTGGGTGGTGATAGTATCCCTCTTGAACCTGAGTTGGGAGTTGCAAAGGTCGAAGTCGGATGCCGGTTGTTCCCTAGCGGCTCGGGCGGTCACGTGGTGGGCCACGCGCCAACAGAAGACCGCTGTACTCGGTTGCTGCGTTGACCTGCACAACGCTGGACTCCTTCTTGTTCTCCGGTTATTGGTCTTGGGTGTGCGGAGATCGCTCTTTGCTAACTGCTAAGGGCGCATAGCTTTTATCTATCTGCATCCCGGGCGTGAAACTACCGGCTGGATGTGGTTGTTGTTACCACGATTCTTTACAAGCATATGCTACAATTCTACAAGCTGGGAAGATCAAAGCAATTTAGGCGCGTAAGAGGATAGGAGATAGAACAGCCATTATCAACATCACCACTGTCATGTTGCAGGTCATTCAACCAAGCCCGCATGTATCCATCACTGGGGGCCCATGTTAATATCATGTGATTATGGATCCCGTATCCATCCACACCATTGATCTCGAATCGACATCAATTGGACAAGGCTTGTGTTTGCCTGGATATTCATCCACATGCCTTCTACATTCCACATCCGAAGCTCCGATCAACGTGTACTCCGGATTCTTGAAAATACGCAGTTCTCCCCCAGCATTGACTTCCTAACAGTCGGCCATATTGTTAGTCATCAATCACGGGATCATTTGATGCCTCAGGTATCAATGCTATCCCCGACATTGGCGATGCACCACCATCTCCACGAAAGTATTCAAGTAGCAAGCAGAACCTAGCATCGTAAGCAAATTCATGTAGTTAGCAATCAACAATCCCAAATACAATCAAATCTGGACCCTAAGCCAGGACAACCCCCGGCCCAAGCAGTAGCTAGAGAAGTAGGCCTACAGTAGTGAAGAGACACCAAGACGGGCAGGACGCTAGCCGTGCTCGGTAAGCGAAATCCCACAGAAAACCAGCCCTAGCCGAACCTGCCTTGGGGACTCTGGCCTTCCGCTCCGTTCAGGATAACCTCACCCGCCAACTCCTCGTCAACCGTCTGTTAGTTGCGACAAATCCGACAAGATGGCGAGTACGTGACACCCTTTTTGCTCCAAATTATTCAAAACCCCGTTGTTTTTGCATTCCCGTCTCGTTCGGACGAAGAATGCGATTATCGACCATCTTAACATCGAAGAATGATGTATCGCTGACATGAATCTCTACAGAGTCCAAGAACGCGTCTCAGCACCACAACAGCCAGAAGGCTCACCGTAACGGGTGCGTATAACAAGCCGATCTTCCTACCTTTTTATATGTTCCATACACGAACGAAACGCCCGAGGACGAATACTGCGATGTTGGGTAGCGGACGATATCTTCGACAGATTTGAGGTTCAGCGAACGGGAGAAGGAGGAAGAGGATAGATACTCTGGCCCTGATGATGGAGGATATCGATCAATATCCAACATTCGACATATTCGTCCTCGGGGAATCAACACACAACAACTACAACGAAACCGCTTGAGAGAGATCGAAACACTGACCATCGCCTTCTTTTCCAACTCAACAGTATCAAGAAGCCCAAGACCCACCGTTACCCCTCCCTCAAGGGTGTCGACCCCAAGTTCCGCCGCAACCACAGACACGCCCTTCACGGAACCGCCAAGGCTCTGGTACGTTTTTTTCTCTATGATCGATCCAACAAGGAGTGTCTCTTTTGTTGGGCGAAGCCGAGAAGAAGAATCGACACTAACAACCCGAACAGAAGGAGCGCAAGGAGGGCAAGCGCGAGATCGCATAAATTACTTCCAACTAATATAGAAACGTTTTAAAAGAAATGAAAGCGATTTGAGTTGGTTGATTTGCTCTTATCTCATTTCCTGTGTTTCCTACATTCCACCGACAAACGACAACAAAAGCAAAGCAAAGCACCGGTCGAGAGAAGATTCTACATTGGGCTGAAGGGTATATTACCCCGCAAGAAACCGGGTTTGTCACATAAAGCAAATGGATACGGTTCTCTAGTGTTGCTTTTTCTTGGGCTTCATTTATCTCCCGTGGCCGGTGGTTCATTTGCTTTTTTGACTGACGTTGCGGTTCTCATACCGTAGTATGGTTGGTTGATGATGTTGATGTTGATGATGAAGAAACAGGCATATGTGTGTACAGCTTCGTGCTTATTTTCCCATGCGCGCTTGCTGAAGGATTTATATTACGTGCCGAGAGAAGATCCCATGCCCTCCAATTACCAAACACCCTTTGCTCTTTGCTCTACCATGGCGAGAGGGTGCATGGACGGAGGGCTACATACTACCATACCATGTAGAGCCCTGTAGGTTTGATAGTGAATTGAATTTATACTATGATTTCTGTTTCTATATAAGTCACTCAACCTTCCAAACAACCAACCTCTTATCAAACCCCCCACTAACCAACCACTCCTCCCTCTCACCCCCATCCTTCCCATCAACCCATCCCGCCCAAAGTGTCCTAATCTTACACCCAACCTCATGCCCATCCTTCAACAACGTCACCACCCTCCCCGTCTTCACCTCCACCCCTCTCACAACCCCATCATCCCCATTAACCCAGACCCCCAAGCCATCCGGCCTCCACACAACCTGCGGCGTCGAGTACGCCGTCTGCGGCGCAAACGTATTCGCCTGAATCAAGATCGCCGCGTCCTCGCGATTCTGCAGCGACAGGGCAGCGAACGCCTGCGCCGCCTGCGTTGCTGGCTCCTGTTCCTGCTCCGCCGAGCCGGTCTCCAAGCTATCCGCTGAGGGAAACAGTAGCCGCACAATCATGACCTTCATATGCGGAAGAGTCGATGTTGCGATGGCGACGAGACCCGGGTCATGTGGGCTGAGGGCCAGACACGAGGGGGAGAAGGCGACCCAGGCGTTGGAGTGCGGGGCGAGGTTCTGTTTACCGATTAAGGGGCATTCGTATCCCGTGGTTGAGTCTGCTGACGGTTTGACATGGTAGTAGTAAAGATTGCTTGAGTCGCGGCGGGAGACGAGGAGGATTAGATCTGCGGGGTTGTCGATGTGGGTGGTGAAGAGGATGGATTCGGGGTTGGAGAGTAGTGGGATGGAGGCGATGGGGTCGCCGATTTGCGTAGGGGCTTCGTCGTTGATTTGTATGCGGTAGAGGAAGATCTTGGAGTCCCAGCCTGCGGTTGCGATCCAGATTGTCGTAGAGGTGGGAGTGGTGTCTGGTCCGTCGTTGTTGTTGTTGTTGTCCTTCTGCTCGTAGGCGATGACCTTGACGGCGTATTTGGCGTGGTCTTTGCGGCGGTCGATGATTTCTGCGCCTTTTTGCAGAAGAAGTTGGCCGGACATGTTGGTCATGAGGATGTACCTCCCATCTTGGATCGGGATGTATGATAGAATCGGGGCTTCTGATGTGCCCGTGAATGATTGGACGAGGTCATGGCCAGGAGATGTTTGGAAGAGATGGAGGTGCCTGTCTGCGCCGGTGGCGATCAGATATGGCTCTGCTTGCGCATCTGGCCTTTGCCATTGTTCTACGGAGCATGCCAGTAGGTTTGAACTGGTTGGCGTTTGGATGATGTTGGGCTTGGTTGGTGCTGTGATAGCAGGTGAGTTTCTAGCTTGCAGCGGGGCATGGAGGTGTTAGACAGACCTGGAACGGTCCAGACATCTTTGTCCTTGTCATTGTCACCGTATCGCTCAAAGTTCTTGCTTTGGTCGAAGGCTTTCTTCTCCTCGAGTACGTTCTCGATGGTCCAGTTGCTCGTATCGTCTTTGCCGCGCTGTTCTCCCGCATCGGACGGGAGCCCCGCTTCTTGCAGGAAAGCTTTTAAAGTCTGTGTGTAGTTGTTTGTCCGTAAGAAACGGGCCACAAGGGTGCTGGCTAGTGGGATGTTTTGCGATGAGGGTGGCATCTTGGAGGTTGGGCTGGGATTGAGCGACGGGATGTAGTTTGTCGAGCGATACTAACTGGGGGAAAGATATATATCGGGCTAGTAGTAGCTTCATGGCTCCACTCGGACCAGATCTTATGTTTCTGACACCAAATTGAAAGTGGTCTGCGCAAACAAGTCGCCTGAGCACTACATTTTATGAGGATACCGCATTTAGTACAGTCGGAGTTAAGATGTTCTCATTCATAGGCTGAAGTACAAAAGTATAAAATATATATAGAAGGAAATATTGGTATCTTTTCACACCACCATCCCAGCAAAAGCAGAATGACAACCAAAGAGAAACCAGTCAGGCAAACATGCACATAGCGACTTGACATGTTGCTCGCCAAAGGTCTGACCCAAAATAAAATTCTAGGCCTCAGCTAAACATGTCCTCCGCCCTGCGTCGTGGCCCTCCTCGCCCCTCAATCTTATCGGAGAACAGCTCCTTGCCGGCATTCGAACCGTACTTCGAAGGGAACAGTTCACGTACAGACGATCCCCGTCCTTTGATTGATATGCCATTTGCCGCACCACGAATCGACATCCCCTGATCCTGCCTTGCTGCCCCGCGGATGTTAAGACCGCTTGTCTCGGTCGCCTCGGGGAACAGCTCGATGTCCCGCTTCCGGCGCGCAGGTTGTTGATCATGGCTTCCATCCACAAGAGGCACTGAGATTCTTCGAGAGAATAGATCTGCGGTCTCGTCCGCAGCATCGATTGCGTCTGACCGGCGATGATTGCTAACCTTTTGAGGGAAGAGTTCCTTTGCAGTTTTGGTTGGAAAGAGCTCTCGCGCTTTCGCATCGCTAGTTTTCGCACCTGAAGACGGGAAAAGCTCCTTGCCTTCATTGCGGCGACCGAGCTGTGGCGACCGGTCGCGGAACCGTCTGCGATCCTGCCGATCATCCTCAGCATATCCGCCTTCCATCAATGTATCCCGACCGGGTGACGCGCTACGGTCGCGAAGGCGACCAGACAGTCGTCCTTCTTCCTGTGGAAATAGATCGCGCCCCCCTCGCCTTCCCCGCCTTTCGCGACTGCGGTCCGACGAGCGATCGCGGCTTGTTGGCGTGTCATCGTACATATTGGCACTGAAGCTCTCGTCTGCATCGCGGTCTCTCCGGCGTTGCAGTTCTCGACCATCAAACCGTCTTCGCCTGTAATCCCCGTCACTGACATCTCCACCTCCCGAGCGTCGTCTGTCGGCGGCGAATTCTCGTCGCAAGCGTTCCCGAGGATCATGTTCAGGGTGCATGAGGTAAAACCGACTGGCTTCGTGCGCGCGGGGCTTTTTGCGATCTGCCTTGACAGCTGACCGAACCTGGAGGACAGAGTCGGGGTGCGTAGAGAGAAGTTTCGCGGATCGTAACCGTAGAGCAGGCAACGCAGATGCATCCTCCTCCTCGCTAACCTGCGTAAAGGCTGACAGAGCTTGGAGACCAACCTCCGGCGAAGAGTATAGGAGGTTCGCCGATGTGTCATCAATCCATTCAACGCGACTTGGCTCCTCCAGGGTGAAGTGTTCGACAGCAAATTGTTTGATGTTATCCGTTGTCAACTCGTCTACACCGCGTATATGAACCTTTTCGTACTGTGCCTCCTCATTAAGAGGGTCGACGTATTCATCTTGAGCAGCTGTCGTTGCCACGAGGGTTTGTTCCTGGACAGTTCGACGAAGATGTTAGAAGTGAACAACTAGAATTCAAGATCGATTAGGCAAGGATGATACTCACAGTCTCAATTGGCTCTGCTTCCGGAAGGGGACCAAGGTCAATGTCCATGTCGATATCCATGGAGGCGTCCATTGTGTCAGCGACTGGGGCAGTGTTGGAGGCGTCTAGTTGAAGAGAGGGTTGTTGCGCGCTGGCTACCTCCATTGAGGGAGGAGACTCAGTCGGAAGATGCGGGTATTGGATGTTATGCCAAAGCAAAATGAGAAGTAAAGTCAAGTAGCTTTATCAAAGCTCGATGGCAATGAACCAGAGAAGAAGAGGGGCGGCGAGGAGGCTGAGATGATGAGCGTAAAGTGAAGCCGAAAGGAAGTTGTCTTCTACACCGCCCGGACCAGTCGCCGGCGGAGTTTCGCCGCTGCCGCTGGCGATGATGTCGATGCTCTCTCTGTTTGTCACTTGAACTTGGTGATCTTCTCATTTGATTTCCAACTATCAATTAGATCTCAGAGAAGAGCGTGCTTCTTTTTCTATTTAATAATATTCACAGGTTATTATAAAGTTTGTCCATGACACTTGCTGGTGATCGGCGCGACAATGACGACGTTCATGTCAAGCAAGCAACACATGGCTAAAGCTGTCGTTGAGCTGTTGGTCACCGGTGTTCTTGGTGACTCGGGGATGAGATCATGGCATGCTCGTAAAATGACAGTTCCAGATGGGACGAGGTTAATCCACTAGTCTGGACTTGAAGCAACATTCTCAACATCAGAACACCCTTCCGATCCTATCATGGCAATGGTTCCAGCCCTATCAAAATAGAAGTCAAGTGTCATGAAGCTGCAGTCAAACTCTGATGCAAGGAAGAGCCGCGGTGGTGACCGAGTTGGTCATGTCCCACTAAAAGCTTTATGGTCTATTCGCATCACTCGATGATACTTGTGACGTGACAAAAGCGAGCATAGTCTTCCCTGTGGTTTCATTTCTCACTAATGAGAAATTGACCCCATGCCCCCAGCTTCATTGTCCCTTCATTGGACCCAATGATGCGACGTGACTGAGTGGTCTGCTTTCTGGGATAATGATCTGCCCTAAATGGTAGCAATATATCAACCCACCGGTGGCAGTCTCATTTAGCTTTCAAGTGGTACATCAAGCCACGTACTACCCTAGCAGATGGTTATCAGACGGTGTCTCAATTCCCAGGTCACTTTCCTGCTCTGTTTCACCGTCTGATAAACGGTCAGGCCCGGCTAAAGCCCGGGCTACCCCCACCGGAGTTCCAGGAGATACAGTCTTCGATCATGTGAGAGCCATTACTTCTTGTAACTTCCGCCGTTGCCGTTGTCAAATGGCGAGTCTGCTCTTCACAAACTAAGATGGCTTGACACCTGATCCGCGTAGGGTGCTGTCGCTTCGCACGATGATAATTAACCTCGCCGGATTGTCGTCCCGAAGTTCCTGCTGCAGTACGATATAGAATGCCAGTGGTGAATACCATGGACCATAAGGATGCAACTTTTCAGGAATTTGGGGCGAATATGATGGTATATAGATTTTCTTTTACATGTAGAGCAGCCTACAGCATCAGCGGCTAACGCTAGCATAGAACCGTGTATTCGTTCCACCTATTAAACACATTGCTGTAGATCAATCTAACTATCCAGCAAACTTGCAATGAGTCGGGTCAAGATAGCAAGATTGCAATCATGACCAGATGCAATCCTGTGTTGCCGCCTTCCCCGCTTCTTGTCATCTCGATTCTTCCCCGGAACTTCACCTCCTCACTAAAGGATTGTGGCGGTTAACATTAGGCTATATTCCTCTATCCCAGCCCAACGAATCCCATTCGTGGACCCAAATGACTTCCGATCTCTTGGCCGGAACAAGTCACTCGCTCTAGAGCAGTCGTTTCTCTACGCCGCCTTTTCTACTGGACGAAGATGAATGAATCTGGTCGGCAGTATGCCCGTCGTGACGCTGGTGACACTGTGACGCAGGCAGCGATGCGGCCCTAGCAGGATGCTGTGTCCATCTCCCAATTGGACCGCATCTGTTCTACTGCTAGAACAGTCATCGTGAGGGGCTGCAATCGCACAGCATGTTCAAACACCCCCCTCATTTCCACATCTAAACGGACAGTTTTATAACAAATAGAACCCTTCCCATGCTCCAGTGGCCTTCAGAATCCACTTCCCTCGCATCCCCACCCAGACAACCACACCATCACAATGCTCTACACTGAAGACAACAAACTCATCTTCCGGTTCGACGACCACCTCCTCTGGATCCAGCCATGGGGCGACAATGCGCTCCGAGTAAGAGCCACCAAGCTGGCCTCCATGCCCACCGAAGACTGGGCCTTATCCTCCAAGATCCCATCAACCGAACCTACCATCAGCATCGAAGAGCACAAAGACTCCAGCATCACCAACGGCAAGATCACAGCCAAAGTATCCCAACGCGGCAAGATCACCATCTACAACCACAAAGGAGACAAACTGCTCGAAGAATACGCTCGCAATCGTCGCGATCTCAAGGACCCCAAATGCAGCGCCCTAGAAGTCGAAGCTCGCGAACTGCGACCAATCCTAGGAGGCGACTTCCATCTGACCATGCGATTCGAGTCGCTGGACCCTAAAGAGAAGATCTACGGAATGGGGCAATACCAACAACCCTTCCTCAATCTCAAGGGCGCGGATATTGAGCTCGCGCATCGGAACTCTCAAGCCAGCGTCCCCTTCGCGCTCTCCTCCCTTGGCTACGGGTTCCTGTGGAACAACCCGGCTATCGGACGAGCTGTGCTAGGGACGAACACCATGAGCTTTGAAGCCTACTCCACCAAGGTGCTCGACTACTGGGTCGTAGCAGGAGACAGCCCAGCTGAGATCGAGGAAGCCTATAGCAAAGTCACTGGCTACGTGCCGATGATGCCCGAATACGGCCTCGGGTTCTGGCAATGCAAGCTGCGATACTGGAACCAGGAACAGATTCTTGACGTCGCACGAGAATACAAGCGACGAAACATACCATTAGATCTCATCGTCGTGGACTTCTTCCACTGGAAATATCAAGGAGAATGGAGCTTCGATCCCGAGTTCTGGCCGGATCCTGGTAAGTCCTTCACATACATCTAGATAGATATATATAAAACCCTATCGCCAACTAACACACTCCCCCACCACACAGACGCTATGATCAAAGAGCTCCAATCCCTAAACGTCGAGCTGATGGTCTCCGTCTGGCCAACCGTCGAAAACGCATCAACCAACTACCCCGAAATGCTCGAAAAGGGCCTCCTAATCCGCCACGACCGGGGGCTCCGCGTATCCATGCAATGCAACGGCGACATCACACACTTCGACGCCACGAACCCGTCCGCACGCGCCTACGTCTGGAGCAAAGCGAAACAGAACTACTACGACAAAGGCATCAAAGTATTCTGGCTCGACGAAGCCGAACCCGAATACTCCGTCTACGACTTCGACCTCTACCGCTACCACGCCGGCAGCAACCTGCAAATCGGCAACATCTTCCCGAAAGAGTACGCGCGGGGGTTCTACGAAGGCATGGAATCAGCGGGACAAAGCAACATCGTCAACCTCCTACGGTGCGCCTGGGCCGGGAGCCAGAAATACGGCGCCCTAGTCTGGAGCGGCGACATAGCGTCCTCGTGGTCGTCGTTCCGCAACCAACTAGCGGCTGGACTTAACATGGGTCTGGCAGGGATACCCTGGTGGACGACAGACATCGGGGGCTTCCATGGAGGCGATCCATCGGACCCAGCATTCCGGGAGCTGTTCACGCGCTGGTTCCAATGGGGGGCATTCTGTCCTGTGATGAGACTGCACGGCGATCGGGAACCCAAGCCGGAGAACCGGCCTACGGATTCAGGATCCGATAATGAAATCTGGTCGTATGGTGAGGAAGTCTACGAGATCTGTAAAAAGTACATTGGGATTCGCGAGGAGTTGCGCGATTACACGAGAGGGTTGATGAAGGAGGCGCACGAGAAGGGAACGCCCGTCATGCGAACACTGTTCTATGAGTTTCCTGCTGATAAGAGAGCATGGGAAGTCGAGACGGAATATCTCTTTGGCTCGAAGTACCTTGTTGTGCCGGTTTTCGAGGCTGGGAGGAGATCTATCGAGGTGTATTTGCCGGCTGGGGCGTCGTGGAAGGTTTGGGATCAGGATGATGTGATACATGAGGGAGGGAAGGTGGTTCAGGTGGAGTGTCCGATTGAGACGATGCCGGTATTTGTCAGAGTTTGAGTGAGAGTCTCGTGGGATATTTTGTATTTGGGTTTGGCAGTTGCCTGGCGGTGATGGGATGAATTGATGTATTCGACAGGGGGGATAGGGTTGGAGGTATCGACATGCAAATTGTCAGAGGGAGAGATAAGTTCAGCCACTATCCACTAAAGTAAATCACAAATGCAATCTGTCAGCATGTGTATGTGATGGACTGACTCGACACTCTCGTAGAAAAAAACTTACAGTAATGCTGCTAGTGGAATATCGTGGCCACAGTGCATCCATCCATCCAGCAGGTAGGGAACAGAACCAGTAAGTAGGGAGGGGGCAAATGACAAATCTAAAGAGCGACTTCGATAGCCCTTTTTTTTCAATATTTGGGTCAATGGTTTATCTCCTTTCTTTTTCTTGCTTCATTTTCAGCCTCGCCAAGGAAAGAAAAGCAAGAAAGTGTTGCATGGATGGATTCTTCGACGGCTGAATCTCATGGCAAAAGCGTGGCAACTATCGAGTACTAGAGAAGTAGCGAACATTCTACAAGATGAGTCTGGAAGCTCTCTTCTTAGATTACTTCTCTTTTCACTTCGATCGATCTAGTGGCGACCAGGGTCTCCATGAAGATGTCCCTAATCGCCCCCAAGCGTAGCCACAAAAATGAGCCCAGCTTAGCCACATGGCCCAAGGAATGGGTTTCTGCAGGAAAAAGAAAAGGGCAATGTATGGCTCAGCCCAGCCACAGAGTGGATTCATCAATAGGAGGGAATAGTTCTTGGATCTGTAATAGGCGGAAACAGGGAAGTACGTTGGAATTTGTCCAGACTCAACAGAGTTTGTGTGTTCTTCCCTAGTCTCTTCCTTCTGCCCTTCCAGCCAAGAGACAGTAAGTTAGACCGTCTCACCGTTGGATATACGAACGGGATCGATTGGCCCCCAGAAGAAGTACCAATGTCACAAGTGGAAGTCTGTGCAGAGAGCTATGACTGCTGCGTCTAGTGAACCATAAAAATTTGGCAGCGAATCGAAAGGCCTCGCGTGGAATTATGCAGCCATCTCAACTTTCTGCACGC